GGGACAGAACACAGAGGGCGCAAGCAGCTGAGCTCAAATGCAGACTCCTAAGATTAGGAAAAATTAATTCCAGCCTTAATTTTGTGCACAGTGCAGTTTAGTAAAGTTAAATATGATGTCAGGTGCATGCCAGTATGAGAACTACACTGGAAACACCTCACTTCCACTTCTACTTAACCATTTTAGGCCATCTACAAAACGTAGATATTTCCGAAGTTTTCAGCTGCCAGGTAGGAAGCTTTCAACATTCAGTGGTGTTAACAATAACAAAAAAATCATGGTATTACACAACAAACCAGCTCTTGCTCTGCTTCTGATGACTTAAGATTACATGCTGGTTCTATCACACAGTATACTGCCCATATATCTCTCTGTATAATGGTACCAAAATTTAGAACTAGTGAGGTCCAATGAAACTTTTTATTGAAGTACCACAATATTATGTAAATACTAGAAAAATAGAGTGTAAAACATTTTTACCATAAAGTTTTATTATTAAAAAAACACAAACCAGCCCCTGCCCCAAACATTTTCTTACCTGCTGCAGGAGTTGATGTAAGAGCAGATGATAACGATAGGCTGCCTGTTGAGGTAGATGTAACTGGCAAAGCAAATGGCGTGGCTGATCCTGCAGGCTTGTTGAAACCTAAACTAAAGCCTGTGGTAGATGCTGATGTGGTGGCAGGAGTGCCTAAAAAAAGAAAAACAAAAATTACCACTCTTAGAACATTCTGTTTGAGAATGAATGTTGAAGTCACCTTCTGTTCTGATCTGTTCCCATTTAACCATCCTGATGCAAATGATCTTGCATGCTGTGGTGCTCAAGTAAAATATCCCCATGGCACCTACAGAAAAATTTTCAAAGATTTAAATCTGTTGCATGGGCATTTTCTTCTCCAGAATTCCTAGTGATCCAATGGACTTTAATCATGGATTAGCAGTTACATCTAGTGGTAATCTAGAAACAACTGTGAAAAAAGAGCTTCCACCAACAGCATCTAATGATGAACCAAAGATTGGTAAACAGAGCTAGAAACACTGCTGCCTGAATTACAGACTAAAAATTCTCCACTGGATGTGTCTATCAAAATGAATGCAAGAAAAATACGTTGAGAAGTTATTGCCTCAAACTTCGCTTTTGTGCACTTCTAAATTAAAGCAAATAAAGCTTCAACTTCTAGCTGCTTTTGTGGTAGAGTCTATATCTTACAATCCAGATTCCAATGTAAAGGAGGAGCATACACATATATACACAAACCACAACAGCAACACATAAGCAACACTTTTGATATTCTCAGTAACTGCTGTGGGTCTGTTTTGGATGACATCACTTCATTCAGCTACCGAAATAAATTGATGTTCATCTCCATAGTACGAACTGCCACATATGATTATGCATCACACAGTCTGTTCTGTATTAGCTGCTGCTCCTTCCTTCTGCTAATTTAATTTGCTTCTTTATCCAACACTATTTTTTCCCTAGTTATTCACAGTAGGGCTTCTTAAGTTCTTGGACTGCAGCCTGCCTTTTAGCACCACCCCCATCCTCAACATCGGTGAAACTCAAGCCCAGCTTCTTCTCAGACCTCACTTGCTGGCATCTAAAAAAAAAAAAAAACCACACACACAAAAAAATACACCCCCACCCTCCCAAACACAAAAGCCCATAACTACCCACAGACTGCTGTATTTCTAATGACAGCTGAAAAAACACATTAAAGATACATCAGAGAAACAAAAGTAAATTATCCCCAAGGTCCATTCCCAATTCAACCCTAGTTTTCTAAAAGGGGCAATTATCAAACAGACCCGTTCACACAAAGTTCATTAAATCAAGAAATTATGCATTAATAGTTCTTTGATAATGTATTCCACCGCCCCTCTGCTGAAGGATAAAACTCATTAGGGGGACATAAATACAAAGTCTAACTTCTCACTGTGACTACTGTCACTGTTGTACAGGGATGGAATAATCCTTTGCCAACCAGTAATGTGCCCAGAACTGCAGGGCTCCACTCTGCTATGTAGCCTTAATATTCAGGCTGCAAAGCAGACTGCAACTAGTGATGGGGAAAAACAGCTCACATATGACCACTAGCTTTTCTAGATTACAGGAAAGATCTAGCTGTATTTCTTTTTTTTTTTCCTCTTGAACATTAAAATCCAGATTAGGACCTTACCTAGTGTCAGTCCTGTAGCAATAGTTGTTGCTGTACCTGCTTAAAAATGAAAACAGAGTAAGAATGGTAAATGAAGACCACAGAGCAGTTATGATAGTAAAAAAACATGAAACAAACCACTTGCACAATGTTGCATTTTTTCATAGTCTACCTATTGTCTCACAAGTTTTTTCTGTAGTATGTTCAAAGCGCAACATTAAAAATACTGTTCATATGCTAAGTATAACTGACTTCAAAACTCATCATTTTTCTTCATAAGAATTTGCTAACAGTGAAGCTGATGTGATCACAGCAGTATAACAAATTTGAAATTTCAAACAAATGAAAAAGATATGGAAACTAGTAATTCTATTAAGTATTTTTCAGCCCCATGGGAGTACATTACATTAGCACGAAAATCAGCCGATTTTCGGCATCATGAAGATGATTATAGAGTCCACAGTCTTTGTAATATTCTGTGTCTTGGTTTAGGGTTTTTGCCACACTGGTAATTTAAAGAGATTATTTTGAAAACAGTTATGCCATTCTGTATTTTAAATACTATCTGATTAGAAAATCAAAAGACCAATTGAGAGCTACAATAAAATCATCCCAATGTAGCCAAGCACAGTAATATAGCCTTTCAGTCTACTACTGAATTTATTTCTAGTAGATTTGTTCTTAGAACTTATCTAGTCATACAAGCAAAATAATTTGTCTAGCAATACTGGAGGCTAAGTAAAACTTAGTTTGTCTGTATGATGGCTGAAAAAGAAATCTCTCCAGTCAGAAATGGTTTATTCTCTTGCCCTCCAATAATCCTATAAGAACCTGTATGTTCACAGGCTGAATTAGAGACCTAAGAAAATATTAACAAATTTCTTCATGCATATTGCTAACATTAAAAACTCAAACAAAACCAGAAATGCTTAGTACTGCAGGATTATAAAAATCACATTACAAATACTAATGATCTCACAATGTTTTAAAATATTTTTCAGATCAAAAGATACCTCAACCTTAAATCGTTATTTTGAGCATCCTGGATGAAGAGTTAGATTTCTAGAAAACAACAGAATTCAGATTATGGAACAATTTATACAGGTCCAGGCACAGTTTTCTGGTAGCTGCATTTGTGTTTCTGCAGCAGTGGTACTGCATATTCTCAAAGAATGATATTTTAAAGTGCTCAATGAAGCCTGTAAAATACTAAGCACATTATGATGATCCAGTTTGTGTATATATGACTTCTGCACTGTTGATTCACATTTCTGCTGTATAAGATTTTTTTCTACCTGTAGTCGTGCTTCCTAGTGTAAAGCCAGTTGGTTTTGATCCAAAAAGTCCACTCCCAAAGCCCACTGAAGGAGCTGATGTAGTTGCTGTAGCTGTGGAGGAGCCCAGAGTTCCAAAATTAAGTCCTCCTGTTGAACTACTACTAAAAAAAAAAAAAAAAAATACACCACACTATCAGTAGCAATAATTATTTTTCAAACTAAAAAAGCCCACTCTTCTGCCCCATTTCAGTGTTGTTCCCACATCATCATTCATTTTTCCAAGACAGGAGCTCAAACTCACTGCCACCAAAGAGGCAGCGGAAGCCCACCTGCCTCTTTCACAGCTCCATAACTCCCACTGCTTCCCCGCCAGCTCCAGCATTTGCTCAGCTCCTTGATACATGAGTGGGAAACCTGAACTCTCCTCCATTCAATCATCTCATTAGTTCTGCCCAATTATTCGCCCTGAACTACTGAAATGGGGTAACAAATGCTAGAGGCACTACGAAGATGACAACAAACCTGCAAGAATGTATTTTCAAAGCAGGCTACAAGTCCAGTCATACCTCCGACCAGAAAGCTCAGTGCTACTTTATTTCATCCTAAAGCAGTAAGCAGAGACCACAATCCTTCACATCAGCAGCACAACTTGTCCTACACTGGTACCAAAACACATTGATACATGAATACATTTTCTAACCAAAACAACATCCTTAAGTTTTTTGCAAGCCACAGGGGACTCACGCTTACTCTACTTTCTTTTCTGACAGTATACTTGCCGTAAAGTTATGGAAATAAACTTCCAGAGCTATTTTCACAGATGAAGAGAAAGAGAGGAAGGAGCAAAGCAGAAATCAAAAGAAAAGTCATCAAAAAGAAAATTAAGCCTTCTTCTAAAATGTCTAGTTACCCAAAATAAAGTTTCATAGCAAACAGAGAACAAGCTTTACATTTAGCTGTGGGTGCATTACGTTATTGGGCAAAACAGGGAAATACAATAATTGTTATTATCTCTAGCCAATGAAATGACAGCTCATCAGCCAGATGAGAATTTTTAAAGCTTTGTTTTTAAACCAATGAAAGATCAGGTGAATAATTTATTTCTAGTAATGGCCTGCTCCCATTTGTGAGCCTTTTTAGGAAAAGCTTTTCAGTTTTCTTTAATTTAAACATTTTGCATAACTACATCAGCAGCACTGAAGTAAAACACAATTTAGACTTCAGAGTAAACAGTTGTCAAGAAGTATTCTATGTTTCAGGTGCTGAGTATTCTCTCATTATTCCCTTCTCTCTTTTGTATGAAAGCAGCTCCTATGCATAACAAGTTAAACAAAGGATATTCCTAATAAAAGCATTTTAATTTTTTTTTTTTTACCTTTTACATAAAAAGTTTTCAAAATATTTACAAAAGTGACCATAGCAAGTCCAGTAAAACTTGGTTGCAAGTTCAAACTCTAGGTGTGGGCTACTCTTAGAGAAGTAATTCAAAGAAGCAGAGTGGCCAAGAAGTCTGGAAGATCATAGACCAGCCAGATGAATAGAGCTAAATCCAGCTGGCAGCTGGTCACAGCTGGGGTTCCTCAGGGCCCAGTGTTGGGGCCACTTCTGTTTAACATCTTTATCAGTGATCCGGATGAGGGGATCAAGGGCACCCTCAGTAAGTTTGCAGATGACACCAAGCTGGGTGGAAGTATTGATCTGCCTGAGGGTACGGGGAGGTTCTTCAGAGGTATCTGGTCAGGCTGGATCCGTCAGCCGAGGTGAATGGGATGACGATCAACAAGGCCAAGTGCAGAGCCCTGGATTTGGACCACAACAACCCCACACAACACTACAGGCTTGGGGAAGAGTGGTGGGAAAGCTGCCCAGCAGAAAGGAACAGGGGCTGTTAGCCGACAGCTGCCTGAACATGAGCCACCAGTGTGGCCAGGGGGCCAAGAAGGCATCCTGACTTCTATCAGAAACAGCATGGCCAGCAGGACTAGAGAAGCAACTGTCCCCCTGCACTCAGTATTGGGGAGGCCACACCCCACATACTGGGTTCAGTTTGGGGCCCCTCACTACAAGAAAGACAAAGAGGTACTGGAGCAACTCCAGAGAAAGGCAACAAAGCTGGCAAAGGATCTAGAGAACAAGTCTTATGAGGAGCTGAAGGAACTGGGGTTGTTCAGCCCAGAGAAAAGCAGGCTGAGGGGAGACCTTATCACTCTCTACAGGTCCCCGAAAGGATGATGGGAGTGAAGTGGGTGTTGGTCTCTTCTCCCAAGTAACAAGCAACAGGACAAGAGGAAATGCCCTCAAGTTGCACCAGGGGAGGTTTAGGTTAAATATTAGGAAAAACTTCACTAAAAGGGTTACCAAGCATTGGAGCAGGCTACCCAGACAGGTGGTGGAGTCACCATCCCTAGAAACATTAAAAGAAGTGTAAATAAGGTGCTTAAGGACATGGTTTAGTTTTGGACTTGGTAGAGCTAGGTTAATGTTTGGACTCAATGATCTTAAAGGTCTTTTCCAGCAATTCTACAAATCCACAGAAGCCAAAGCATTTCAGCTTTCTTTACTGCCAGAATTTCAACATACCAAACTACAGCACCATGACCTAGCTGCTTGTAAACTTAAAACACACAAAATGGCACTTTTTCACTAGTCAAGAGTTTGTTCCTCATCCTTTTCCAGTACAAAGATGACTCTTTTGTGAAAATAGTTCTTGTTTCACCATTCCAATAGAAGAAAGCTATAGCACAAAATATGCAATCCAGCACGATGGGGGGGAAAAAAAAAAAAAACAAAACACAAAAAACACTACACCCTATAAAATGAAGGGGCATTTTGTTTGTTTTTTTAAGACTGAAAGTAACCAAAATGTAGAAATAAGGCAATGCCAGCATTTTCACCAGCAGGGGAAAGCATGTGCCTGAACAACCATCTACTCCTCACAGATGGAAGGAAGACCAGATCAGGTCACTGAAGTCAGGTCTTAACTCTAATTTTAGAACTAGAACAAAGCTTTGGACCTGGCTAAAGCATACTATAGAGAACATCAACTAATAAAGAGCATAAGTACCTGAACGGCCATTGGTGCAAAGCAGGAAT